TATAAGTCCAAGTGCTATTGCTGTCTTTCCCTCTCCTTTAACCAAATTCACTGTCATGGTTCCGACAGATGAAACTCTTCAAAGAACTTCGAGGCATTGTTTATCTTAAAGAATCTTTATTTGAGTAGCAACACATCGGCACGTACATAATCCAAGCCAAAATCTGGCTTCCCCTCCCCTCAGCGCATAGTATCAAAGCACAATTCCCTCCTCTTACTAACAGTCATAAATCACATTCTCCAATTAGTTTGAAATGCTGGCTTTCCCACCGGTTCTACAACCCCGCCATGTCTTATCATCTCTTATTACAAACAGCCTTAGTTCTCACCATTATACAGTATTGTTTTGTCTAACTAATCTCCCATGCCCATTCCTCCTCCTACCCCGCCCCCCCCTGTATCATCTAATTCTAACTCTAAGAGTAAAACTTAAAGTAAAGGAAAATGGATGCATCTCCATATGTTGTCAAAGCAAGAACATTCGATGTTAGCAGCGTTGACACTCACATTTTAAGATGCATGGGGCAAGGCCCTATCTCAGTGGAGGCGAACCTATGGCACGCGTGCCAGAGGCGGCACTCGGAGCCCTCTCTGTGGGCACACGTGTCGTTGACCCAGCCCTGTCTCCCCCCGTGACCCCCTCATCAGCAGCCCCCCTGGAGGAGAGTTGCCCCCGAGCGTGGCCCATGCGGAGCAGCACAGCCAAGGACATGGCAGCCAGGCAGCATAGACAAGACTCCGCCCTCACACCCCATTGCGCACAGTTGATGCTACAGGGCGCAGGCAGAGGACGTGGCCGCCATGGCGCTGCTGGGCTGCCTGGGCGATCTGCGGCGGGCCCTGGAGGCGGTGAGTGGCCCTGCGGGCAGGCAGGATGGGGGCGGGGCAGGGGATGGAGCAGGGGCGGGGCCAGCTTTTGGGCACTCGGTCTCTAAAAGGTTCGCCATCACTGCCTTATCTTTTGGGTTGTTACAATCTCAAGTGCCAAAGTATATTGATGGTGGGAGAAAGAGGGGTGGAGAAAATAAAATTCTCAGCAGCTCAGGTTGAAACTGTCCGCGTAAAAATATTCCATTTCATGATCCCCTGGGTAAAACAAACCTTTCAGGCTCACCCTTTTGAAAAGCGTCGCCCGAGGCATAAAGCATCCTCTGATTTAGCATAAAGAGGTTGAGTAGCTATGCAAATGACCCATGTCCTCCAAAATTGTAATACTTTACGGCTGCCAATTATTAAATAAGTGCCACTTAAAGTCCTTTGGTGGGAGACAGATTGTACCCCGAAGTGCAAGCAAAGAAGATTTATTTCACTCACCTGGAAAGCCTCAATCTCCTAAAGAGACGGGCCTGAATTCTTGTTTTATCCACTTTAGAGTGACAAATTGAAATCCATATATCAATCCTGTCAACCTGATGGGAATAAAAAGGATAGTTATGCGCTAGAATTAGTCTTAACTGTGCAGGGAGACAGTCTGGCTTTTGATGCTAATTCAGAATACCACAAGGCTCCGGTTTAAAATAAATGGGCTTTACTCCATTGCTAACCTGAAACCACTCCAGTGGGCAGGTTAGAAAAAGAAGTCATTAGCTGTGGGCCCCATAAAGGAAGAGTAATTCTATTTACTTGTCTGAGCATCAGGAAAACAAGAAAATTAGATTTGGGGTGACTCATCCTTACCAGAAAACTGCAGAATATTTGGAGTTGCGTGAAACCGGTGTCTCATCCTGCAGGCCAATCCATATTCTACAAATATATTTAAAAGATATAGATAGTCGTGAATTTTCTTTCAAAAGAGTATTTCTCCAGTTTCATTGCTGATCCTGATGAAAATCAAACTTTGATACGGGAAAAGGCACAGGAGTCATCTGGATGATTTAAATCTTCTGAATTCTAGTCAGGAGACCCAGCTATGTTGAACCGAATAAATTAGTAGCTGAACTTAAATAAGAAACCTAAAGTCAGTATTCAAAGGATATGTTATGCTTGGCAAGTTTTAACTCTTAAGTAAAAACTTGCCAGATTCGTTTTTCTCACCATGCACACGTATACATAATCCGAACTAGACTGTGTTGTTTCTTCATATAATATATGTGGGTATATGCATAATTCTGTATTTATTTTTTTCATTTTTATGGAGTATATATATCGGAGGTGGTGAGACTTTGAGAGCTGTACGCAACGAAATTTCATTTTAATGTATGCCGATTAGTGTGCATTCAAAGGGACAATAAAGTTATTATTCTATTCTATTATTCTATTCTAAACCTACTGGGCTACTTTACTGTTCTGGGTATTATCATACCCCAAAAGTGGATTGATTCAGTAGCTGGGTTGAATGTTTTGTGAAAATGCGACCTCTGTGATTATCTCCTGCTGGTACCTGGAATAGGCTGGGTCATTTATAAGAACCGTGGTGGCACAGTGACTAGAATGCAATATTGCAGGCTGACTCTGCCCACAGCCAGGAGTTTGATCCTGACGGGGCTCAAGGTTGACTCAGCCTTCCATCCATCCGAGGTCGCTGGGGGCCAAGTATGCTGACTCTGTAAACCGCTTAGAGGGGGCTGTAAAGCACTGTGAAGCTGTATATAAGTTTATGTGCTATTGCTGTTTGAGTGAACCTTGAAACTTTTATTCCTTGATAAAGAAGAAGAAAAAAACAGCACCCACAAACTCAATTCCCCTCCTAAGAGACTATCTAAAAATAATTTCTTCCTTCCAAGCCTAATTTGAACTTAGATGGATACTCTCAACTTCAAACGTTATTTTGTTGTACCAGTGCAGACAGCCATCAAACATCACTTGCCGTGCTGGCACCCGTTTTGCAACAATTTATTTCATTAGGCTGAAGACATGGTAGCGTTATTTGACTGCTCCTAATGATGCATAAGAGTTCTGTGGGCCGCAAATGATGATTAATGTCATGTAACTGTTCGTAACAATTTGCTCCAGCTGAAAAGACGTGGAAGATTTATGCTTCGACAACAAAAACAAAGCACTTTCTCTTGGTTGCCCTCTAACACACACGTGTGTGCGCTCTCGCGCACGCAAACAAACACACAAAGAGATCAGGTAGCCACTTCCGCTTATACCCGACTTCCTTAATTTATTCAGACTGGAAAAATTGATCAGAAAATCCCAATTCTATTGTATACCCCCCACACACTGTCTTACCCATTATTTTCTTAATGCTAATGTATGTATTGTCTTATTGTTTTAATCGTTTATAACATCATTTATCAGATTGTAAACCACTCAGAGTCATATGACAGCCAGATGGGGAAGGAAGGAAGGAAGGAAGGAAGGAAGGAAGGAAGGAAGGAAGGAAGGAAGGAAGGAAGGAAGGAAGGAAGGAAAAGAAAGAGAGAAAGAGAGAGAGAGAAAGAAAGAAAGAAAGAAAGAAAGAAAGAAAGAAAGAAAGAAAGAAAGAAAGACAACATTCTTCTTAATATGTAGCTACTGTAGTCCTCGACTTACAAACATTCACTTAGTGACATTCAAAGTTATGATGGCACTGGAAAAGTGATTTATGATTGTTTTTCACACTTGGTCACGTGTTCAAAACTGGGACGCTTGGCAACTGGCATGTACTTATGACCGTTGCATTGTCTTGGGGTCATGTGATCACCATTTGTAACCTTCCCAGCCGGCTTCCAAAAAGCAAAGTTAACGGGGGAAGCCAGATTCACTTAATGACCGCATGATATACTTAACAACTGTAGTGATTTGCTTGACAACCGTGGCAAAAATGTTCATAAAATGGGGCCAGACTCACTTAACAACTGCCTTGCTTAGCAGTGGAAACGTTGGGCTCAGTTGTGGTTGTAAGTCAAGGACTACCTGCACTTGAATCTTACGTTCATCTCCAGATGTTCCTCTCCGATGACTGCTCAGTGCTGTCCTACTTGGGTTTACCAAGCCATCCTTTGTGTGTTTCCTTCCCACAGAGCCATGTTTGACTACGACAAAAGCAAGGACAGTGGCCTCCCCAGTCAAGGACTCAGCTTCAAGTATGGAGATATTCTCCACGTTATCAACGCCTCGGATGATGAGTGGTGGCAAGCAAGAAGGGTCATGCTGGAAGGGGACAGTGAAGAGATGGGAGTTATACCTAGCAAACGAAGGTATGTGATGTCCTCTTCTCCTTTTTTCTTTTCTTTTCTTTTTTTACAAGCTTTATTTCAAGTCTCTGTTGCAAGCTCACACTTAATCATTATTTTAATCCAAGACATACAAAAATGTACAAAAGGAGACACACAATGCTGTTTCCTTTTTAATAATGGCCATGCTGTCCATAACACGATATTGTTGTGGTAGCGCAGTGGTTAGAATGCGGTACTGCAGGCTACTTCGGCTGACTGCCGGCTGCCAGCAGTTCGGCAGTCCGAGTCTCACCAGCTCCAGGCTGACTCAGCCTTCCGTCCTTCCGAGGTCGGTTAAATGAGGACCCAGATTGTTGGGGGCAAATATGCTGACTCTGTAAACCGCTTAGAGAGGGCTGTAAAGCACTGTGAAGCGGTATATAAGTCTAAGTGCTGTTGCTATTGACAAAGAGGCAGTATGAATTTGTTAACAACATATTATCTTTAAGTTTAGGGACATGGTGGCACAGTGGCTTAATGAACTTACAGCCAGACATGGTTTGCACTCTGGCCATTTGAGCCCTGGCTCCATGAGATGGAGTGAGCTCCTGTCACTCGATCCCCAGCTCCTGCTCATCCAGCAGCTCAAAAGCATGCAATAGTGCAGTGGTGGCGAACCTATGGCACGCATGCCAGAGGCGGCACTCAGAGACCTCTCTGTGGGCACACGCACCGTTGCTCCAGCCCCGCCTCCTCCCATGGCCCCCTCCTCAGCAGCAGCCCCCCCAGAGGAGAGTCGCCCCCGGGTGCGGCCCACGCGAAGCAGCGCAGCCAAGGACATGGTAGCCGAGCAGCGGGGACAAGACTCCGCCCTTGCGCCCCATCGCACGCAGATGATGCTGCGGGCCACGGGCAGAGGGCGTGGCCACCATGGCGCTGCTGGGCTGCCTGGGTGATCTGTGGCGAGCCGTGGAGGTGGTGGGTGGCCCAGCGGGCAGGGCAGGGCAGAGCGGGGACAGGTGGGAGGGTGGGTTTTGGGCTCTTGGTGTCTGCAATAGTGCAAGTAGATAAATGGGTACCACTTTGGTGGGAAAAAACTAGCTGCATTTGTGTGTGTGGAGAGCGGAAGCCGGTGCTAGACCTGGCCAGACGCGAGGCATTGCGAGGCGAGGCAGGGCAAGACCAGTGGAGGAGCCCAGACGAACCTGCAATCCGAGCATTGCTAGTCTGCTGGTGTAAGCTAGTTTACCGGCTGCGATGCACCAGGGATAGGCATGCAAGCGCCAAAATGAATGAACTAGCAATTTAGGCTATTGTGTCTAGCATGAGTACATTTCCCTGACATTGCATGCCATATGCTAAATAAATAAATAGATAAATATCTTTAAACAGGCAAAATAATTTTGCAAAGGATTCTTTGCCCTCCGATGGCCATTGAACCGGGTGCATCCTTGAGAAAATGAACTGGGAAGTGCTGTTGGGGATAGAAAAGGTCAGGGGGGAAAAATCAAACAATTCCACGTTCTTTCGTGCTCTACCTAATTATTTGCCAGAACATTTTTAGAGGGTCAGTCATAACTTTGAACAGTGACTAAGCAACTGGTCATAAGTCGAGGACTAATGTTATAGCTCTTGTGCTACCCTGGGTAAAAATAAAAAGCTGTAGCTGGTTGAAGTGTCTGACTGGCCAATTGCCACACTGAAATAACTGACGATCAACCCATTTATCTGACAGCACACAAAACAGTGGTCAAACAAGGAACAGGCTTCTCTAGTGCCAAAATGTTTGTCAGTCTGGCAGCAATCTAGCTGTGTATAGATGCAAGCCTACACTGAATCACAATCAGAGTCACACAAAAAAGATTGAATCCATTGCATTACCATCCTTACTCCTTTCTGCCTGTATTTCATAGAGAGAGAAAGAGAGAAGAGAAAGGGAGGGAGGGAGGGAGGGAAGAAAGAGGAAAGGGAGGGAGGGAGGGAGGAAGGAAGGAAGGAAGGAAGGAGCAAAAAGAAGGGAGGAGCAAAAGGAAGGGAGGAGCAGAAGGAGAGGGAGGGAGGAAGAAAGGAGCAGAAAGAAGGGAGGAGCAAAAGGAAGGGAGGAGCAGAAGGAGAGGGAGGGAGGAAGGAAGGAGCAGAAAGAAGGGAGGAGCAAAAGGAAGGGAGGAGCAGAAGGAGAGGGAGGAAGGAAGGAAGGAGCAGAAAGAAGGGAGGAGCAAAAGGAAGGGAGGAGCAGAAGGAGAGGAAGGAAGGAGCAGAAAGAAGGGAGGAGCAAAAGGAAGGGAGGAGCAGAAGGAGAGGGAGGGAGGGAGGATACCAGAATGCCTAAAGTGGCTGACCAGGGGGGTTAGTTTATTCTCAAATATCCCCGGCATAGCAAATGGAACTAAAATCCAGAAAAGCCAATTAATTCATTCAGTGCCCTGTCCTACACTCAGGAGTTTAACCCTATTCAAGCAATAGGCTAATCAGTGGTTCTTAACCTGGGCGATATCGCCCCCCAGGGAGCGATTTCGTTTTTCAGGGGGGCGATGGAACGAAAAGGGGCAACGCGGGGGTGAAGGAACAAAAAGAGGGCAATATAGGGGCGATGGAGCGAGAAGTTTTGGGGACACTTTTGAGACTTTTCCGTACAGTGAATCGCTGTATATCTGTCATACAAAAACACCAGATCGCTCGCTATTAGTGGATTGAATTGTGTTTTCAAATGTTCCTCCAGCTAGCTTCAGTACAGAACGCCGTACATATGTGAATACACATCGGCTTCGTTTTCGAATTTTTGTTGTGCTCTGTAAAACATTTTGTGTGTCTCTTTGTATTGTCCTTTTTTAGGGTGCACCCCAGTTCGATATTATATTTTCTTTGTGTCTTTTTAATCCTTTTTACAGTGTGCGTGACTATACATATACTTTCCTCGAATCTTAATTCAGTTTCAGAGTTTTCGTCTTGAAATTCTTAGTTCCTGCATTGCGGTTTGTTTTTATGCCCTTTTTATATTTCTTTTTGCGTCTTAAATTTCACTTGTAATTCAATCATTAAATGTTACTGTTTTTCTTTTCGGGCATTTCACTTTCTTGCAATTGAATTTTGTTTTCAGTGGTCATTACATTGAAGTGTCTTGAATAAATAAGATAATAATGAAATACATGTATCACGAAGTTTGGGAATAAAGTGATGGGTAGCACCAAAATTTTTCACACAGTTGAGATATGGGAAAAAGACTGGAAATAAATTATTTGCATCAATATTTTTAAAGAAAACAAAAAAAGTGTTTGCATAAATTGAAGAATTATTTCCTATGAGAGGTTATGTTGGGGGAGGGGGCGATGACAAGTTCCTCATTGGCTCAAGGGGGCGATTCGTTCAAAAAGGTTAAGAACCACTGGACTAAATCATGAATCATGCCTTACAACTTAAACCACAAACAGGCAAGTCTCATTAGGGTGTGATTCCAACCTGAAGCAGGTTTTCTACTAAAAGCAGAAATTAATCGTAAAATCGAGTCGTGTTGCAAGGTTAGAGAAAGAAAAGGCAACTTAATATTAGCGTGTAATAATCATTAAAAGACTGAATTTAGCTTTGACCTAATTATCTTTGCCCTAGAATGTGCAGCTTTTTCTTTCTCCATTTTAGGACTCCCAATTTTCATTCCCTTTCAATGTCTTTTCCCTTTGCATATTCTCCTACATCAGTGGTACTCAACCTGTGGGTCGGGACCCCATTTGAGGTCGATCAATCATTTCATGGGGGTCGCCAAGCAAGGCTGTCCGCCATTTTTTTTTGTCTGCCATTTTTTTCCCCTTTTCCGGCGGGTGCCTTACCTCCCTTGGGCTGGGCCAGCTGGTGGTCGGCCTGCTCCGTCTCTGCCGCTTGCCAGCTACGCCTCGGCCGGCGCAGGGGGCGGAACCACACATGCGCGGTGCTCCCGGGCAGGGAAAGTCCTCGACTTACGACCGGTTGGGTAGTCCTCGACTTACGACCGGTTTAGTCCTCGACTTACGACCGGTTTAGTCCTCGACTTACGACCGGTTGGGGTCGCGGCATTAAAAAGGTTGAGAACCACTGTCCTATATGGACCTTCATCTTCAAGATTTAAAATTGAGAGTTTTGTATGGTTCAAAGATCACCCCCTGAATATGAAAGCTGCATTTCTGTGTGCGCATGCTGCTTTCTCAGAGGGGGAAAAAAAATAGATTTATTCCGAAGTTCAGCTGTAACTATAGTAACGTGAGCTCGGTGTGCTGCAGCTGGCAATGTTAAAAACGGGCAGTTTTGAAGCAGAAGTATATATTTTATTTCTTCTTGAAGATAATGTTCTGCAAGGCATTTTGTTCCGCAATAATTAACTTGTGTAGTTTTCACACTTGTTCCCGTAGTCAAAAATAACTCCTCCTTATGTAACTTTTGGAAATTGTGTTTCTCCTGAAGTATATCTATCTATGCTGCTTGGTGAATCTGTTGTGGGTCTACTGTTACAATGGTAGATCTAAAAACTTTGCTTTTTTAGTCGCTTGCGAGATATCTCCTACCTGTTTTGAATCCTAGATGTGTCAGCTGCCACCTTACTTGTGTTGTGCTTTGCTATCAAGTGGTGACTGTCTGCCATGAACTCTGGGGAGAGGAGATACTTGGGGGAAAGCGAAAGTAACTTCTGTATCTCCCTGAGATGCTGCTTCAAGGTCACCCAGCTGGGAGAAGAAGGCTGCTACATACCAACCTATGCTTGGCGTGACGTGACCGTTCTGAAAACATCTTGCTTCAACCTGATTAGTCATGGCGGGGTCAGCGATGGGAGGCAGTTAAGGGAGAGAAAAGTTGAACTTGGGGATTTTGGCGCGCGATTCTCAGTTCTAGCTCTGTGCTACTGCAATGCACTTGACTTCTAATAAAATTATACCTTTTCCAAGAATTGGAGCCAAGGATTGCTTCTATTTAGAGGCTTAAGTGGTAACAGGCCTGATAAACTGTATGTGATTCCCAGCCATTAACTAAGTGGGACCACAGGTTGACTAACTCTTTTATCTTTGCTTTTTATTTTTATACCTA